ATCCGACACTTTAGTAAATAACATTCATATTCATAAACAGGACTTAAAGGCTGTTATTAAAACTAAAGATACTGAGAAAGTAAGTATTGGAATGCATAATTTACGCTGTTTTTTTCTTGAATTTTGTTTTTTTTTTTTTTTTTGGATTTAGTTAAGCAAATGGTTCAAAGTGCTCTTAAAGCATTTTGGTATAAACCGAATACCCCTTGAAAGCTGATGTTTGTGCTTGCGGTTTTATTTGTCATGTTAAAACATAAAGACAAGCTGTATGTTTCGACAGGATATCATGAATTTGATGTTATTTGAGATTAAAAACTGCGGAGCCTCTGGAAAAAGTTTCCGAATAGGAACAACATTTTGATTTTTTTTGTCTGATAGTTGTTTTTTTCGCCTGTAGTTCTAAGGAGTCAGAGCATAGGCCGCTAGCTCTTTGTAAGCTCGAACTGGGGTTGGAAGAGTGAACTCTTGCACATTTCTCGATCATGGACTTACAACTCGGACAACTTTACTAGTATTCTCACAAATTGTGCATAATTATCAAGTGTGAGGGGCCGTCAGAATCTAAACGACAAGAAAAAAGTAAAATGAATCTTACTTCGTCTAAGCTCTAAGATTCGAGCACTGTCAGCTTCTACAGTTACTGTATGTTTTTTTTCACCTGTAGAAGATCACACTGTTGTGAGATACGGAGTACAATGAAAAAAAAAAAAAAGTCGTGTAGCTTAACTGGTTTGTGCTGCGTCTGTGTTATATTGTGGTCCAGGCTCACTAAGCCGAGGGGAGCCACTGTTGTTAGCAAAGTTTTGGCACAACCGATTACTGTTTTCTTCTATTTCATTTATTCAGACCATTGATACTGCGCTCTACTGGACAACTTTCGCGCGAAGAGAAGAACGATTTTAAGAAGTATTTTTACGATGGCCAGTGTGAAGAGCCCTACCACAAACTTTTAGATTTTGTGCATAAATTTTTGAAAAGCTATAGCGGCCTTGCAAAATTCGTGGTAGTTTGGATATCAAAGGCACCGCATGAAAGCGCGAGTGGACTTTTCCACGTTGACAAGGTAAAGTTTTAGCACAAAATACTAAACATTAGATGAAATGCCAAAGATATTTAAAAAACATAGCCACGCCTTTCCATCACAGCGAGTGCTAGCTCTTCAGCTTCTCTCAGCAACCTCTATCGCATCCATATGCCACTGCCTCCAACACAGTGGTATTAAAAAGACAGATATGGAAAAAAAATTGGCCAACTCACGGGCTGCCCGTGCGAAGATGCGTTTTTTGCATGGTTCCCCCACAGTTTTTGTTGCTACCGGCACCGGTTTTTTCGGCAAATGCTTCTAGCTAAACAAACTAAGACTGACCGCCAGAACTGTCAGGAAACATCCCCTTAAAATTTCAGCTTTCTAGCTTCCGTGGCCCCCGAGTTAGCAACTTACTGGAACAAAATTTCCACGGCCCCGTGCATGTTTACCAAGCATACTTGAGAGCTGGGTTCGGGTTGAATGAAACTTAGGTGGACGGGGTATACCTTCTTAAAATTACATTCCTTTAGCTTCTCAGGTAATTGAGTTATCAACTTACACGGAAGAAATTTTGGCGGGCTCGTACGCGGTACCACTCTTACCCGGGGGCTAGGTTCGAGCCCACTAATACCCGGTTGGGCGGGA